TCATATGCATGCAAGTCACTTGGGAATCTTGTTCAATGTGAATTCAGATTCCTAGGTCAGAAGCAAGCTCTGAGATTCTGCCTAACAAAGCTACTAGGTTCCCGGTGATGTCGGTGGGTTTTGTGCACCGCACTTGGGGTAACAGGGAACTACAAGGGAGACACAGGCGGAGACATCAGCAGGAGTCAGTTATGGTGTTACAATGTATTGAAGGCCCGCTGTAGAATTTGGATTCTCTCTTGGAAGTAACAGTGGCAACAACTATACTTGATATCTTCAAACCCATGTTGTCTTTCCAAGTTTATTGGATGCTCCTAAGTCATTTCCACAGGGAAGCTTACTCAGCCTTCCGTGGGGGGGTCATCACATGCACAGCTTTGTTTTGAATGTGTTACCCTCCAAGTTAACACTGATCCACTCATCTGTCAGAGTCACATGAATCTAAACACTGAGGGACAGCTATGTCTTTTCCAGTATTGAATGCTCAAACTGAATGTACCTAACACCTTATACTGGGTCTGCCCCATGGTTTTTCTATAAACATTGGTCTATGTTATGTTTGTTCTAGGAAAACAGTTCTCAAACACTAGCCTGCATTAGTTAGCCGGAGGGCGTGTTATAGCACAGGATGACAGATCCCACCTGGGGTGGGGCCTAAGAGTTTGCATTTCTACTATCCTTCCCGGTAAAGCAGTTGCTGCTGGCCTGGGAACCACACTTTGAGAACCACTGGTCTAGAGGAGACCTTCAATAACTTCCTGCCAAGGGATGTTAATAAATAAGGCTAAAAGTGTGGACTCTGAGCTATTTATCATTAAGCCTCAGAATACACATACATAAAGTGCAGATGATAGAAATATTACTTACCCCCTAGGTTAATGTGAAGATTCCATGAGCTAATATAGATAAATAACTCAGTAATTGTAAACTGGTATTAATTAACCCATTACTAAAACCACTCACCTCACTCGCTAATGGAACAGAGAGACTAAAACCTTTTGCGTAAAGCCTCAAGGTGGTTTGTTTGTTTTTAACAAATAGACTGGGCAAATGTGAGTTTAACTCCTAATCTTTTAAATCTTTAGGATTAGTATATGATCCTCTTGTGTTTTATAACCATGGTTTTTATATTTTCTTAACCCATGAGAATACCAGCTGACCTTGGATTAGTATGGCTATAAAAAAAAGACAGACAATAATAAAGGTTGGCAAGGATGTGGAGCATTAGAAATTTCATATGTTGCTGACAGATATGTAATACGGTGCAACCACTTTGGAAAATAGTCTGGTATTTCATCAAAAAGCTCAACATAGGATTACCATATGACCCAGCAACCCCACTCCTATGTTTATGTTATATAGAATTGCAAATACTGTCTCACAAAAACATATATGAATGTTCATAGAAGTAATTCTCAGTAGCCAAACAGCCCCATACATTTATGAATGGCTGAACAAAACATGGTATATATTCATACGATGAAATATCATTTAGCTATAAAAAGGAACAAAGTCCTGATGCCTGCTACAACATAGATGGAACTGGAAAACTTTATGCTGAGTGAAAGAAGTTTGGAACAAAAAGCCACAGATTAACGGACTCTATGTATATGAAAAGGGTACCCACCGGCCATGTGTGTCCTGAGTTCTTTTCCAAAGAAAATGATGCTAAAAGTGTTTAAAAAAATTTTTATAAAAAATATAACATTTATAAAATAAAATATAACATCTCCATACAAATCCATAGAGATAGGAAGCAGACTAGGAGTTACCAGGACTCGGGAAAGAGGCAAGGAAGAGTGAGTGATGTTAATGGTTTGGGTTTGAAGGAGGATGATGTACGTGTTTTAGGATTAGATAGTGGTGATGGTGGCACAGACTTGTGAATAAACTAAAAACCACCGAATTGGTGGCAGGTGCTTGCCCCATAGGTCAAGGACACTGCCAGTGCTGCTTTCCCCAACTTGGGGGTGCCCAGGCAGTCCAGCGGATCCCGGTGATGGAGTATAACAGGAAACAAAGCTCTGGGAAACAGTGTCTTCGTCCAGATTCTAGATGAGTCAGTTTGAGGCCAAGTTAAGTAAATTATAAATCCTGAACAAAACTAAAGCAGCAGAGAATTATCTTATACAGAAGACAAGAGAAACAATTAAGTGGGAAGGTATCAAAACAAGGTTTGATGGAAATCCTTGAAAACGTAAGCCAAGAAAGAGAAAACAGCTGAACTCAACAAAGAAAAGCGATGAAATGACAATTATTAGACTAAAAATATTTAGAGACTGGAACTTAATGGAACAATTCTAGTCGGAAGTTAAGTTCTGGTTAAATGTTTACTTTATTGTCTGTATGACTTTTTACACATTGAACTTGTGCAAAATTTAAAAACCATTGAGTTGTATGCTTAACGGGATTGATTTTATAGTATTAAATTATAGTATAAAAATGATTTTAAGATCCTATAATCCAAGTTGAGCTCAGTGGTGCACGCCTGTCATCTCAGCAACTCAGGAGACTGAGGCAGGAATTTCGCAAGTTCAAATTCAGCCTCAGCAACTTAGTGAGACCCTGTCTCGAAATAAAAAATAAAAAGGGCTGGGGATGTGGCTCAGTGGTTAAGTGACTAAGCACCCCTGGGTTCAATTCCTGGTACCAAAAAAAAAAAAAAAATCCTGTAATCCTGCTTGATTATAACATTTTCATCTTAGGGTTGCACTGCCCTTTAGGGTACCCACCAGCCACGTGTATCCTGAGCTCTTTTACAAAGAAAATGATGTTAAAAGTGTTAAAGAAAAATTTTTTAAAAAGCATTTGCAAAATAAAATATAACATCTCAATACACTTTTAAACTGAAGTGATTCTATTTTGGATACATTTAAATAAAATATAATATTAAAATGAGCTTGGCTTTTTATTTTTATTTTTTAAAATGTAATTAGCAGAAATTTTAAGTTTTGTACATGATTTGCACTATCTTTCTATTGGCAGCACTGCTTAAAATGTCCTCCCCAATAGATCAGGTGTCTTTAGAGAGACACCATGAAAAGTATGGGCGTCTGGGAGTGGTGAAGCTGAGGCTGGTCTTTCCTTCACACAAGGGCTCTGTACCCGGGCTCCCTGAGCTCTGTCCCATTAGCATGACTCAACACATGTAAACAGGGCAATTCAATGGATGTTTCCAGTTTTTGTTCTTTGAGTAGAAGGCCACCTGCGAAAACAGAGCCTTGTTATCTCAAAGAGCAAGGTTCTGAGCCATTATTATTTTAGAAAGTACTTTTTGTGTCTCTTGCTAATGAACTACACAGCAAGTCATCTGAAAAAGAAATTTTTAAGGCATAATTTCTTTCCTCTTCTGAGTAAATTTTTTTTCAAGACTCAAGTCCTGCATCAAAATATCATTAACATTGACATGTATTTCTAGATACAGTGATCATAAGAACTCTCCTAGCAGGGAAAATTATTTAAAAATGAGTCAAAGACAAAGATTTATTTCATAAGCAAAGTAGTTAGAGGTAATTTACTTAAATGGTTTAGAATGAAAAACAAATGTCTATTAGTAAGAAAATTAAGTAGGTTGGTTGCTTTTACAAAAATCGTAATATCTTTTGACTAAAAAAACACAGATGTTATTCCGAACAATGTCAAAAACACCAATAAGTAAAGACAAGTAAATAGCCAACATTCCTAATTCTTCTACCAGAGATAACTGTTGATATATAGATATTAAGCCTTCCAGAAAAAAAATAAAGGTTTTGATCAGTCAAAATTTTTCTGCATAAAGAAAATTGGCTCAATTTCTGTTGTTGACTCCTGGCCAACAAATGGAACATTTACTTTCATCCAATCAGAGATAATTCTGTCAGCACTCTAAATTTTGAGAAGACACATCCAATTTTTATAGATTCGATTAGACAACATTCCTAGGTTACAACATTTTGCCTTTACCTCAGCTAAAACAAGGAAGCTATTTACAGTCTGCACAGAGATGATGTGGGTGGGCATGAATCTATACATTTTTCTTTTCTCCTCACCAACAAGGTTGTATAAAAATATTTACTGCTTTCCTATAGATTCATGTACATGGAGTAGTGTCCAAGTCATGAGCCAGGAAGATGGATTATTTGCTGGAGTTTTTATGGACCCGCATTCAAGTATTTCCCCAGCTGTGTTTACAGCTTTGGGTTTCTAAGCCTCTTGAGAAGTAATCAGATTTGATCATCTTAAATCCCAAAGTAAATTTTCTTTTCTGGAGATTACTCTACTTGCGAACACAGGTTAGTTTGGCCTATTGAAACATCTTCTAGTGCCGTGACATCCAAAAATTAAATCTGTGATTTTGCTCCAAGAAAGAGAAAGGAAAACCTGAAATATGACTTAGATTCTTCCTGCAAGAAGTAAGATCTCAAAATCTCTCTGCTCTTTTAAAAAAATTATTATATCCTGTCTTACTCTTTGCTTACTTCATTTTGTAACTTTGGTCTCTTCAAAATAGTGTAAACCCCTTTAGAGCCAAGATGATTTTTTTTTGTATTATAGTTTATTTTATAACTTTCTATAGTAACCGGCTCAGACACAGATGGCTTTATATGCTCAATATTTTGTTTCTTGATTAATGAGAAGTACATATGACATTCAAAAGTTTAAGAGATTGTAACATGGGTGATTTTAGCCGGGGGACTTTTATAAGTGACTATTTTAGTTTAAACCTCTGTATCTTCACAGCGATCTACACTTAGAGCCAGAGTGTTTGCTAAGAGCTGAGGCTTTGCCTGTTAACAGTAAGAATCAATTCACCCATCTGTGCCTCAGTGTCCTCATGGAAATGACAAAGAACTAATTGACTAAATTAGCTAATTCATGCAAAATGAATGGCATAGCAACCAGCATATGTATCAGGTTTTAACAAATGTTAGCTGCTACCACTCATCTTACTACAACCACTATTCTCTTGATTAATGAGCTCAGTTCTCCACTAACTGAAAAAAAATGTTCTCTTTTTCCAGGCTGGGTCCTTAGAGAGCCATGGATATAGAGAAGTGAGGCAACAGGGAACATCTGCAGAGCTGGCCAGGTAAGCTAAACAACCAGACCATTTTGTGACACATTCAAGTACCCAGGAAATGGGATGAAAGCAACACAGGTGTCATGTGAAATGCTTAATTTGGTCCACATATGCTGACCTCCCACTGCCGCACACTGCTGCCCAGGGAACGGGACAGCAAGAGCAGAAATGAGATGCTGTGTCTGCCTTTGCAAATTTTCCGTCTCCTGCGAGCTTTGCAGTGTACAGTACAAAGGAATTATTTGTGACCGGGTAGGGAATGTGTTTTCCTAGATTTCTAAGAAAAATCTCAGGGGGAAAAAAAATAGAAAATGTGCTTCATTTTACACGGAAAACTAGAAAAATAAAGATACTAAATTAAGATGCTCACGCCCCTGTAATAATCAGGTGTTGCTATTTTACAAACTACTTCAAAACTCTATGCCTTCAAATAACTATCATTCATTATTTGGCACAATTCTGCAGGTTGCTGAGCTAAAGGTTTTGCCTGTGATCACCACAGAGGAAAGTCCAAGATGGCCTTACCCGAGTCTGGGAGTTGGTGTTGGCGGTTGGCTAGAGCCTCAGTTCTCTTCCTAAGATTACTCATTCACCCGTAGGTTAGGCTGAGCGTCTTTACAGTTTGGTAATCTCAAGGTCTCAAGAGGGCAGGAGTGGAAGATGCAAAGCTTCTGGAATTCCCACTGTCCCAACAGCAGCCCCTGTAGTCAGAAGTCCCACCTTTAGTTGAGGAAAGACGCGTTGCATTGCTAAGGGGTGGACACAGTGTCAGTTAACCATCGCTGCACAACAAACCACCAGGTGTTACACTAAATCTCCCACACCCTACTTATTACCCTTTCCGTTGTGGCATTTTCTCTTTAGTGACATGCGTAATTATCCCTCCAGGTTTTTTCTGCAGTTACCTAATTTGAAGTGTCATGACAAAACGAGAGTCAATAACTTAAGGAGAACTACATTTCTTTCTCACTCTCAGAGTTCAAAAGCAGACCCATGCATTTAGGAATAGCTCCGAAAGTCAACTTGGGATGAAAGGAAGAGGATACATGTCTCAGTAAAGAGAGGGAGCCAGATTCTGAGGCTGGGCCACACCCCTGGACTCTTCCCAGCACCTGGAGCTTCCTTTGAAGTGAAGGAAATTGCTCCACCACAAGGAGGCTGGAGGAGGAGGGGTGGGAGCCTGGAATGTGGACCCAGCGAACATTCTGTCGGCATCCAGGAGGAGATGGACTCCCGAGCTGCAAACAGCATGGGCTGACTAAAGGGATCTCCAGTTAGGGTTCTTGGCTTCTTGTGTTTTACTTCAATTTGACCCTGAAGAATTTCACAATTTAAACCACTCTAAAAATCTGAAATCTCTAGCCCAACAAGCAATGGGTCACTTTCCCAGGTGCCTCCTGTGGAGCCCCTCCCCTCCAGTGTGCACAAAGAAGAACCGCAGTCTGATACTCTTAGAAAACATGCCTGCCATGGCCTGCCTTGCTCTGCCTAGAAAGGTTAACACGAGGGTCACTTCATAAAAGCAAGTGTGGACAAGAAGGGGCAGAAGTGGAAAACCCAAAAGGACACCCACTTCCAGAGGGGTGTCAGATGCCTTCCTCAGTGCTCTGTCCAGGACGAAACACCGAGTCATGGGAGGGAAAGTCTCAGAATAAAGTATCAGAATCCCACAGTCAGAAATTCTTTCCTGAAGAATGTGGGGCTCAGGGTTACAAATGCAACTGAAAATTTCCCGGAACTGAATAAGCTGTCTGTTAGAGTCCCTTGAACCAGCCGAGTCATTTCTGTATGTTTTCATATATTTTCATAAATGCAGGTGCATGATCAATTCAAGCACAGGTACGTGAGTCCAGGCAGGCATGGGTGGTCTTTTCATTTGTTTACTTTCCCTTTTATCTTTTTATTTTCACTTTGATTTGGGGGTTCCTCTTGTCTTCCTCACATTTCAAGTCCCAACCCACCACCTACCCAGACCCATTTAATAGTCTAGTGAGTATATTGCCTATTTCTGCCCACGGCTCTATAATGGTATATGGACACATACAAGCACAGACACACTCATGTGCTTTCTGATCATTGTCTAGTTCACAAAAATAACGCCAGAGTATACATTTCCTCTGCGTGGTGCACCCTATCAGCAAGCAATACCTTCTGAAATTCTTCCTGTCAACCAGCAAATGCTAATTCATTCTTTCCAATGACCATATTGTTGTATCATATAGAATCTATTACTGGAGGTATTTTCTAGCTTTTACAAGCTGTTTGCAAAAAAGAAAGAAAGAAAGAAAGAAAGAAAGAAAGAAAGAAAGAAAGAAAGAAAGAAAGAAAGAAAGAAAGAAAGAAAGAAAGAAAGAAAGAAAAAGAAAGAAAGAAAGAAAGAAAGAAAGAAAGAAAGAAAGAAAGAAAGAAAGAAAGAAAGAAAGAAAGAAAGAAAGAAAGAAAGAAAGAAAAGAAAAGAAAAAAACAACAAGCAAACAAAAACACCAACCAACCTTCCCCTGTATCTTGGTCACTTTGGATTTGGTTTCCTAGGTGTTGCCTATGCATATCCTTTGCTCATTTTTCTATTTTCTTTCTTGTTTCTCTTGTCAAATTATAGTGAATCATTGTATATTATTATCAAATTATTATTTATCGTGTATCACTGCTATTATCTGCAAAACAAGTTTAGTATATGTGCTGCCAAAGCGAACACATGTTATCTGGATTACATATATTTTATTCAAATCTGTTGTGGTCTATTGTAGCTTATGTTATTTTTACAGAAAAAGCTATAATTTTTATAGTTGAACATAACTGTCTTTTCTCCCAGAGTTTTGATTAGGAAGATTTTTTCTGCCTCCATATAGTACATATAATTTACTAGATTTCCTTTCACTCGTATATTTGTACAACATCATTGAATATGCGATAAAATTGGAATCTAAAAAGACACTTACTATAATACAGTGGCTTTATAAAGGTTCTAATAACTTCTAAGCAAGTCCCCTGCCCATCTCTAGTTATTTTTCCAAGCTTACTTGTCTTTTTCTTTGGTATTTAATTTTTTTCTCTAACAGTTCAAGGTCACTTTATCCAATTACCAAAAGCAAATGAATAAACCAAAAACATATCTTGTCATTTTTAATGAAACACACATACAATTTGAGGAACCTAATACTTTTATGACAATGAGTCTTCCCATCCAAGATTATAGTACCTCTTTCCATTTCTTCATTTTCCTTTTTGCACATAAGGGGAATAAGTTATTGTTGTTAATTTCCTTCTTATTGCATCTATTTGTAAGCACTTCACAGGGATTTTTTTTTGGTTTTCATCATTTTAAAAACATTTTTCCACCCCTAATTTCTAGAGTAGAGAAGGACTAATGACGTTTTTACTAGATTCCTTTGGGTTTTCTAGGTTTACAATCATATCATCTGCAAATGTAAATAGTTTTACTTCTTCTTTTCCAATGTTTATTCCAGTTTTCAAGTTCGTTGTCATAGTTTAATATTTTATTATTTTTAATACCCTTAGTCATTTTAATATCTGTTCTTTCTGCTTCCTGATCATTTATAATTTTGCTTTTTCCCCCTTTTTAAAAAGTTAAGCCTATTTACAGATATGTATACATGTTTAGATGTTTTTATATAAAAAATTTTAAATGTATTCATATATTCTACTACATGTTCTGATTCCTGTTTCATTAATTTAAGCTTTTACCTTTATCGATCATTCTTATTTTTTTCTGATTTTTTAGGATGGGGATTTAGTTTAATTCTCATCTGAAGTTTTCCATAGGCAAGCACTTGGGTTATAGAATTTTTTAGAACGTTCGCAGATTCCTAGAGAATGTTACAAAGTTCTCTTTTATATGGTTTTTGAAATTATCAGTAATTTCTATATTTCCTCTTTGAGCTGAATGTTTTTGAAGTATTTAACTTTCAATTTATTTTTGTCAACTTTAAAATTTTTTTCTTACTTATGGAATTTTGATTACATAACATAAACTGAGGTCTTCACACTTTTCTTTGGTATGTAATTTGGCTTGCAAATTTGGAATTGCTGCATTTTCGTTATAGTCATGTACATGGTCAGTCTTTTTAAATGCTCTGTGGATATGTAGAAAATGATGCAAATTTTGTAGCAGGAATACGGGAGTTTACTTATTTGTCATGTGTGGGAAGAAGCACGGCACATAGGTTAAAATAAAAATCTAACCTACCTGGGAGGCTGAAGCCAAAGGATTGTTTGAGCCTACAGGTTTGAGGCCAGCTTGAGCAGCTAGCAAAAGCCTCATCTTAAATACACAAACAAAAAGTAAGACTTCATAGAAAGCGTTTACTTTCAAATCTTGACTTTATACATGACCTTGAGCACATCTGTAAATATATAAAAATAGTATCTGCCTCATGGGGTCATTGTGAGCATTAAATTATTTAATATTCGTAAGATGTTTAGAATAGGAATTAGCACATGGAAGGTGCTATGTAATTACTAAATAAGTAAAAAGAATTAGTCAATTCCTTCTCTTTTTTTTCTTTCTCCAGAACATTCCAACACAGTCCAAAGAGATATATTGAGTCACTGAAATTTTTTTGGTGTGTTCAAGGATGGCTTGTAGATTAAAACATATTATTTTTAATTACATTTTAAGTTGTTAAAATTATAAATTGTAAAATTTAGTTCTTCCTTATCTCTTTTTCTTAAAATAGATTTTTCAATGCTCCTCTAACTTCAATGAGTTTTTCTTACCTTCACTATGTATTTTCTTCCACTTGACCACCCTTTTGTTCTTCAGTAAATTCAGCCCCACTCTTGCTTGACTGAGAGATCTTCTGCCAAGTTGTACATAAGTAGCCATTGTTGGTACACTTTAGATCTTTGAAAGCAGTTTGGGGAAGATGAATTGTCCTGTGTCATCAGTCTGGAGTAAAGTACTCCCAAGTATGTTAAGCGATCTGAGTTCGGCAGTCCATTCATTTTTACCATTTCTAGTGTCCTTCATTTCTTTATGTAGATCTAGGTTTCTGTCTGATAGCACATTCCTTCTGCCTGAACTACTTCCCTGAAGATTTCTTGTAACTCATGTCTGATGATAACAAATACTCTCAGTCCATGTCTGAAAAGGCCTTCATTTCCATTCCTATTTGAAAGACTATTTCACTGAGTGCAGAATTGGGGTTGACAGTTTTCCTCCCCTTCAACACTTCAAAGATGTTCTTACATGGTATTTTGACTTTGATAGTTTGACAAATCTGCTATTTTTGTTCCTCTGATTGCCATCTATCTTCTTTCTTCATTTTTGGTTTTCAACAGTTTAAATGTGATGTGTCTAAGAATATTGTTTTTCATGAGGTAGAGAGGCAGGGATTTATCCTGCGTGGTATTCTCTCAGAATTTCAGTGAATTGGGTCAGGCATGGTGGGATACGTCTGTAATCCCAGTGGCTTGGGAGGCTGAGGCAGGAGGATCACAAGTTCAAAGCCAGTCTCAGCAATTTAGTGAGAACCTAAGCAACTTAGCAAGACTCTGTCTTTAAATAAAAAAATAAAAAAGGGTTGGGATGAGGCTCAGTGGTTAAGTGCCCCTGGGTTCAATACCCTATAGGAAAAAAGAAAAAAAAAAAAAGTTCAGCGAATCAATGATAAATTTTGGCTTGATGTCTTCTGTTATGAGAAGAGCTTGTATGTGGATGTGACTTCCCCTTGTAATTGGGGCTCTAGAGTTTCTAAACTTAGCTTCAGAAGCTCATTACTAGTTTTTCATACCTGCTTTTATAGCACATCTCTTCTCCTCTTTTTTTTTTCTTTTTTGGTACCAGGTATTGAACTCAGGGGTGCTCTGCCATGCCACTGAGCCACATCCCCAGCCCTATTTTGTACTTTATTTAAAGATAGGGTCTCACTGAGTTGCTTAGCACCTCACTGTTGCTAAGGCTGGCTTTAAACTTGTGATCCTCCTGCCCCAGCCTCCTGAGCCGCTAGGACTACAGGTGTGCGCCACCATGCCCGGCACATCTGTTCTCCTCTCATGCACAGCTTTGGGTAAACTAGTTTGCATGTTGGAATTTTCCTTAGATTTCAGGCTACTTGCTCCTACAGTCTCAGCTCTCTAATGAACCCAAGAAAAATTATGATTTTGTAGATTATCCTGCATGCTCCTTTTCCATCCTGCAACTCACCTTCTCTGAACTGCTTTCAAATTCTGAAGTGTATCAACAATGGCTATTTCTGTACAGTGGTGTTAGTGAGGCTTCATCCAGCTTTTTGCATCCTAAGAGGAAATACCTACTTAGCTTTTAAATTTAAAGATATTAAATTTATAATCTAGCAGAAAATATGATCTTTTTTAAGGGAAATTTTACAACCTAGTTATGAAATCTCTTTAACATGTTTAACTACACTATCAATTATGTGATATAAAGTTAATATATCACAGTATTTTACTAGTTTTCTTGAAAAAAAAGACCCACAGTGTATGGAGCCCAGAAATAAACCCAAGCATATTTGGTCAACTAATTTTCAACAGGGGCACCAAGATGATAGATACAATGTAGAAAGAATATTTTCTTCAATAAATGGTGCTAGGAAAACTGAATATCCACATGCAAAAATAAATAAATAAATAAAATTGGCCTCTTAACTCATACCTTACACAAAAGTCAATTCAAAATTAATTATAGGTCTACTACAAGTTCTGAAACAATGACACACCTGAAAGAAAACAGAAGCCCCTTGACATTGGTCTTCATGTATACATGATTTTTTTTTATAGAATAACAAAAACACAGGCAACAAAAGCAAAAATAAACAAATGGAACAACACCAAACTAAAAAGCTTCTGCACAGCAAAGGAAACAATGAACCAACTGAAAAGGGAGCTTGTGGATGGGGAGAAACATTTATGGCCCATGTGTCTGATGAGGGGCTAACATCTAAAACATGTAAGGGACTCACACAACACAATAGCAAAAAGCAAACAAACAAATCTGACTTATTAAATGGACAAAGTGCCTGAATAGACATTTCTCCAAATAAGACATAAAAATGGTCACAGGGTGCTTAACATCACCCATCATCAGGGAAAAGAATCAAAGCCACAATGAGAGGTCACCTCACACCTGTTAGATGGCTGTTACCAAGAAGACAAGGGATAACAGTGTTAGGGAGGGTGCAGAGAGAAGGGAGCCCTGCTACCTTGTGAATGGGAAGGTAGATTGGTTCAACTGTTATGGAAAATATTATGGAGGCTCCTCAAAAAAAAAAAAAAAAGCGAAAGAAATAAAGAACAGAACTATCATATGACCCAGCTATCCTTTCCCTGGGGTTGTATCTAAAGAAAATGAAGTCATCACCTGATAAATTTATCTGATGTCCATGTTAATGGCAGCTTTGTTCATGAAGTCACAGTATGGAAACAACCAAAGTATCCATTGCTTGATGAATGAATAAAGGAATTGTGGTATACACACACACACACACACACACACACACACACCCTGACATCTGCATCAACAAGAATGAAATTGGAGAACATTATGCTAAGTGAAATGTCAGAAAAAAAAATACTGTGTGATCTCACTTATATATGGAATCTTAAAAAAAAAATTGAATACATGGAAACTGAGTAGAATGAGTAACAGGTGTGGGTGAGGAGGAGCAGGAAGAGATGTAAGTCAAGGAGTACAAAGTTGTAGTTCTGTAGGATGAATGAGTCTAGAGATTTAATATACAACATAAGGACTGTAATTAATAATAGTGTATTGTATACTGTAAATTTGCTGAGTATATTTTAGGTACTTGTACCACACACACACTTAACTGTAATAATTCCTTCATGGTTTAATCAGCTTTTTTTTCCTGCTATGAATAAAAGACCCAACCAGAACAACTGTAAAGGAGAAAAGGTTTATTGAAGGGCTCACGGTTTCAGAGGTCTCAGTCCATTGAAGGCAGGCTCCATTCCTCAGGGCTCAAGGTGAGGCAGAACATCATGGCAGAAGAGTGTGGCAGAGAAAGCAGCTCACACCATCATCCAGAAGCAGGGAAAGAGAGACTCCACTCTCCAGCTACAAATATATACCACAAAGCCAAGCCCCCAATTCCCACCTCCTCCAGCTAACCCTGCCACTTCAGTTACCACTCACTTAATCCCTGTCAGGGGACTAAATCACTGATTGGGTTAAGACCTCACAATCCAGTCCTTTCTCCTCTGAACCTTCTTGCACTGTCTCACATGTGAGCTTTTGGGGGACACCACATCTAAACCATAACACTTCACTAGGCATATATATATCAAAACATTACGGTTGTGCACCTTAAACTTATACAAATTAAAATGATAATGTGTTGAAATTTATTTTTAAGTGTTCTAATAATCTGTTGCAGTAGATTGTATTTTTCAAGTGAGTACCATACCACTCTTCCCATCCCTCACACTCTGTCAGGAGTCTGTGCCACTCCCCACCTAAAAGTAGAGTCTTTCTCCATCACTCTAAATCTGGTGGTCTTTGTGACTCCTTTGGTCACTAGAATATGGGAGAATTGATGCCATGCTCATTCTAGGTATGGCACTTAGCTGACCTGGCAGCTTGTTCTCCATATACTAATGGGGACACTAAATCTCACTGATTTTGTGATCTGGGTCTCCTGTATTCTCCCACAATTCTCCGAGGAGTGGGAAAACCACAGGGTTTGGGGAGAGGGATGTTGTTTTATCACTTTTTAGATTCAACTCATCTTTTTGCTACTTGATTTGATTCTAAATTATTTTCATATTCTTTCAACATTTCATAGATAATTCAATTGCCTTCCATTAATTTTGCGTATCTCTGTCTTATCTAATCTCCTGCTCACAGCTTCAGGTTTATTCTAATGACATTCTAATTATACTTTTTAAAAAATCAAGCTGTTATTATATTTCTAATAGTTTTTGTTTCTACAGGTAGGGCGAAAGAGTCTAGAGATCTAATATACAACATTGGTGAGTTTTTATGCTCCAGGTACATTTGTTTACTCATTTATTTATTTTTATTAGAGCTTTATAGTTGTACATAGTAGTTGAGTTCGTCCTGACAAACTCATACATGGCATGGAATTCGATTTGAGTTCATGATTTCCTCTTAGATGTTTGGTGTTTGATGTACACAGTTTTATGATCATTATATCTTCTTTATTAAAAAGTGTCCTTTGTCCTGCCCAAATATCTTCTTTTTATTCTTTTTATTCTGTTGAATGATTTTACGCTTAAATGCCGCAGTCTGGCTGGGCACAAAATCACAAGCCACTCAAGCAGGAACAAACTTTATTTCTGAACTCCACCAGCGCACTCCACACACGCTCCCGGGGAAAAATGTGGAACACCTCGACACGTGGCTCCTCCCGGGACACACTACTCCAACAGGAAATCCCTCCTCCGGAATTCCCTCCTACCGCACTCCCCAACCAATGGGAACTCTCCGGAGTCCCGAGAGCTCCAAAGTAGCAGGCCAAGGCAGACAGCAGGGGTCTAATCTCCAAGTGAATGCCCATCTTAATATAATCATTATCATCTCAATGGCTTGCTGGGGTCACCTTTCAACCAAAAATGCCATGCATCATTCCTACTTGGCTATGGCTCTCAGCACTTAAATACCATTTTTGCTGATGTTAATTTTATATTTCAGATCTCTTTACCTCTTCATGTGCCTCTTCTCGTTATTAAGTCTGTACGCTTATTTCAGCTTATTTCATCGTATTAACAGCATGCAGTTAAATTGTGTGTTTCAGTATAATAGGAAAGTCTCTGCTATTTCCTTATTCAAAAAATATTAATTGAACACTTACTTTGTTCTACATTCTAGTCTAGGCATTGGTGGGTCAAACAAAGACACCTGATCTCAAGAAATTGGGTGAGAGGAGGCCAGTGATAAACAATACCCATAACCAAGAAGCAGTTAACATGGTGTATTACAAGTGCTAACTGCTGAGGAGAAAAAGAAGAGTTGAGTAGGGTACACGGCACTAGCATATAAGAGAGTAGGTTGCAGTTATACATCGTCATGACAGGCCCTGTTGAATAAAAGTGAAGGACAAAAGGGAGTAGCTACGTGGGCATCTAGAGAAGAGTAGTCTAGGCAGAAATAACAGGCCTTACCAAGTCTTATGGTGGGGGTGTGTCTCACATGTGCAGGGAAGAGCAAGGAAGCAAGTGTGGCTGGAGTGGGGTGCAAGAGAAAGCAGTAGATTAAGACTGACAACCACCATTGGATTCGGCTTTAGCAATGTCACTGGTAACCTAGCTACAGATGCACAGTGCTGGAGGGAGGCAAGGCCATGTTCTCTGGGGCACTACTACATGGTGGATGTGCGGCTGGCCTCCGTAGCTGCAGGTTCTAAAGTCACAGATTCCATCAACTTCGGATTGAAAATGTTCAAAAAAAATTAAGTCTGTACCAACTATGTATGTTTTAGTCAGCTTTTTCACTGCCATGACTAAAAGACCTGAGAAGAACAATTGTAGAGGAAGAAAAGTATCTTCAGGGCTCCGTTGCTCTGGGCTTGAGGTGAGGCAGAACACCATGGTGAAAAAGGGTGGTGGAGGGAAGCAGCTCACATGATGATCAGAAAGCAGAGAAACTAAGCTCAGCTCATCAAATGTGCACCCCAAAGTCATGTCCCCAATGACCTACCTCCTCCAGCCACAGGAACCACTCAGTTAATTCCTATCAAGGGATTAATTCACTGATTGGGTAAATGCTCTCATAACCCAAACATTTCACCTCTGAATATTCTTGCATTGTCTCACACATGAGATTTTTAGGGGAAGCTACATATCCAAACCATAACAATGTATGTACACACATTTATGTCATTATTCCCTAAATACAGTATAACAACTATTTACGTAGCATTTACTTTGTCCTAGGTATTATAAGTTAACTAGAGATGATTTAAAGTATAGAAGAAGATGTAGGTAGGTTATGTGCAAATACTTCAACATCTTATATAAGGGATTTGACATCATATAATGGATTTTGGTATCTGTAGGAGGTCCTGGAACCAAGCCTCCTTGGTTACCAAGGGACAACCGTACCTAATTTTATTTCTTCTCTTTAATTTGTTATTTATTTTATCTTATTTTTATATTTTTATTTTGATACAATGATTTCAGTGGTTTGACCATTATTTGAGTTTTCTCCGGATTCTAATCTTATCTATACACTTTCTGGCCACAAAAGGAGCAGGATTTTTAGCTTTCCCTATAAGCCCTGGGCACAGAGGAAAGAGGACTGGGTGTGTTTTTGAGCCAGTGTCTCCAACTGGGCAGGAAGCAGGTGCCCTTGTCAGGTAACTGAAAACAGCTTCTGAAAGGGACCAAGGTGCAACACAAGGTGTAGGATAACCAAAGGGAGAATGCAGGACCCAATGATAGTTTGTGTCGGAGTGAGGTGGATGGAGCCAATACCAGGCAAGAGAGAAGAAACAAACTTACATCACAAACTTGACCTCTCCATTAATCTGGAAGGGGAATTCAGAGGCACATAAGGTAGCATGTCACTCCTGGAATCTGGTGCATGCATAGCAGCCTCTATTCCAGTTTCCTGCCCCAGCACCCTCTCTTCTTAGCCTGTAACCTGCCATTCCCACCCAAAAGGCTAATTCCCAATCAAACATGAGCACAAATCCTTAGTGGGGGATTTACCTTCTAGTTCATTACATAAAAGACAATTTAGTCTGTCTCTCACTTTGGGCTGGTATCATAATTGATTTTTGGTTACAAGAAACAAATAAACGGAGCCTAAGTATATTCCAGACATTAGATATGACCTTGCATACCCTTTGAGGTCTGGTTAAAACTTGGCCTGACCCCCAATACCACCACCTAGGAAATTCAGAATCTTCACTACAGTTTCAGTGAGTTCCTGGGCTATTTCCTTTTCCTCCTTCCTGCCTCTATACTCCCACCTCAGCATGGGCTCTGCCAGTTCTGCTTCTTGTTCATCTAACATTTAAGTCTAGAGGATTCACTGATTTTCCTTAAGCAGCCCCTTTACTTCAAGCATCTTGTAAGGATAAGGACTTTAAAGACATGTCACTTCTCATTTGGTCTCAGTTCTTCTTTCTTCAAACATCATCCAGTGCAGGAAGTACATACTCGTGATAAGAAGACAAATATAGAGTGCAGCTTTAGCTTCTGGTGTACATTTAGTGTGTCAGTGGGGAAAGAATAATATTTTTTTCCTATGAAGGGTAGAACAAAGATCAGCAGCTTAGCATCAACTTCAAATGGACTTAGCATCAATTGGGTGAATTATTCTCCATCAAATTCATGAAACCACAAGTAGATTTGGGCAGTTCCCCTTGTTTCTGCACCATTGCCATCGTGAAGAATTGTCAGTTTTGTCTGGCAATGTCAAGGCCAGGGCTGGCTCAGGGGCAGCCTTGACACTGTGACATGGCTGTGCTTCCCCTATTGGAAAAATGTTTTGTTTGATTGTTAAGAATTTTGTTGATCAGAGCATCATTTGATTTTAGCATTTTACAACTGGAAAGGAACTTTTTACAGAAAAAAGTGACAAGTGATGAGTCCTCTCATTGTCTCTGCTAATTTTTTTGCCTGTTTTCCTTTTCTTTTCAGACTCAAAAGCAGATTCGGAGCTTCATACGCACTGCCAGTGCTAAGGCACACTCGAAAAAGTAAGAAAGCTGTCAACTTTCTAGACTTTCAGGTTTAGCTGGCTTGGAAATAGAGCCAGATGATCTATCAGGGGTAGATCTGAAAGCCCTGTGGCCCAAGCACACTTCCACCCAACCTTTCCTCTTCCTCCTTCACTGGCCTTGGCTTTGAATTGCAGTCTGACAGCTCTTCCAGCCATTCTCACCCCATAACCCAGGGCGCTCATACAGGTTATTTCCCCTAATCAAGTCATAGGTCTTTTATCTCCTGAAGGTGTCTGCTGCTCAAGGGACCTGGACTAATCCTAGGGTGGTGTCTAGATCACAGGCAGCAGGGCTCACTGGCTACCTTTGGCCCCAATCCCCATGACACTGTGGAGGGGAATGTCTCACACTGCTTTGGGCAGGAGCATCGATAGACCCCAGTTTCCATGTCTTACTCTATCCCATCAGTAGAATTCTAAGGCTTTGTGATGAGGAGCCACTTCTGCTATTCTATGAAACCTCGTGTGATCTTCTCCCAGGGAGGACAACGATGCTCATGGGAGGTGGCAGCCAGTCAAGCAGGGGTGAAGAGCGCAGCCTATTTACAGATTCCACAGAGTGGGAGGACTCGTGGGCACGGGTGTGAGAGACAGGCAGAAACAGTGGTACCCAGCTGCGAGAGACTGGCTTTCATATGACTGTCGGTAGGGACCGGCCTGTCAGTGACCCTGGTCTTCGGTTCCTGGTTCCTCATTCCAGAGAAGAGGCTACCTTGAGATGAGTTGAAGGCAAACCAGGAACCTCACCTACCTTCACCCAACTTGGGGCTCCAAGGAGTTGGTGTGTGAAACTGAGATGAGGAGGGGACGTCCTTAGCATAACTGCTGTCCTCTCTGCCAAAACCCCTTGGCCACATGGTACTGAAAAGTAAGGACCCCACCTGCTTGCTGCCACACTCATGTGTACTCACAACTGCTGTGAGTTGTGGGTGAACCGACGGAATGGGATATGTTCAGGTGCAGTCTAATCACTCAGAAGGACTGGTCACCCTGGGGAGGCATCTCAGTGAGAGTCACTCAATCTGGGGGCGTGAGTACAGCTGGGGCGGGACTCGTCAGGGTTGTCCTTCCAGTCCACCTCCTAGGCAGACTAAGAGAAAGTGGTTGGTGGGGGGGGGGGAACTGTGCTATCTTAGGGGGAAGGCTGCAGCCGGAAGAACCAGTCTGGTCACCCTGGACGATGGCTGGCACTGATACCGACAAAGGCTCAAATTAAGACATGACAAACAGGGAACTTGGAGATCTGGGGCCTGTACTATCTGTACTGGTTAATAACACTGCACCTAGCTCTTAACCCTCCATATGCTATCAGTGGTCCAAGCTGAATGGATTTCAATACAAAATACAAGCTGCTTCTCTGGTATTCTGATATCCCAGAAGGAACTAGCTTCTGCTCTCTCACCTATACTGTGGTCCCTTGACTACAGTGAAAGTCAACACTAGTTGAGCTACTCAATAACGGGGGACTCCAGAGAAGGTACATTATAATAATACCCCACACTCTTATAATGGACTAAGGACAGTTGCAAGGAAAGTATTCATTACTTGGTGATAATGTAAGCTCTGGACTGGAAGTTCAGCTTCCATACTGGGAGGAGATAGCTACTTCTGGGCCCAGAGTTATCAGAAACAGACGGACAAGCCCTCCCTGAGTCCACACCCACTGCTCCATGTTGCTGTGGCTTAATGGCTACCAAGAGACCTAACCTTGTTTGCCTTGAGCACCTCACCATGGATTAGCACCTGTTTATTGGGGTTCTCCTTGGCAGTGAAGAATTCAGCTCTAAAAGGGCTGAGAAGAGAGGTCACTCCATCCAGTGTAATTGTCCAAATTAGAAAAGGAGTGTTTTCATGCCTCATGATTGGAGAAAAGTCAAATGAGCTTCCCTTTGCAGAGACCCTGTTGCTCAGAAGCTGACTGAGGGGCCATCTACCCACTACTGGTGAGTGGTTTTCATGATTCTCTCTTTCTTCGATTCATCCACTCAGGAGGACCATGGAGATGGGCTCTCTGAAAATTAAATGTAATAGCTCCTGTCCCAAAACATATGGGTCCTGATTCCTGAGAAAAGTCTCAGGATTTAATGTAACAATGTGTGTTTTCTTGGAGGCCCTGCCCTTTCTTGCATGGAAGTGAAAGTTCACTGGAAGGAATACACTTCCCCACCCAGAAAGCTGGCTTCTCCTGAACGTCTCACCCCCACGTGATCCAGCAACGCAGTTCCTATCTTGCTTTTACCCTTTCCACTACATTCCCTTTGGGGACATTTCTTGTGTGTATGTGTCCTTAAGTCACTTTATGAACTTTCAACCCCCTTGGGAAAATGTTTGGAGACTTGTGCTTTTAAACCTGAACAGAGTCCTCTACTAAACAGCATAAAGCCCAGAGGGTGTATGGATGGTTGATATAAAAATATAGCAATTTGTTATTTTCTACTGAAGACTGAACATACCAAAGTAGAATGAAAAGGGATGGGGATTATAATAACGCTTTTAAACTTTTAATGCTTCAAGTGTGCATCTTTTAAAAAAAAGGTCTACTGAGATGCCAACTCTACCTTAAAGGACTTTAAATTCATCTCAGTATTCAGTTGTTACTGTCACCGCACAGCCCAGAAATTTTTCAAAGCCTTTTCAAGGAGCCAGCCAACCCTGACTGTGGACATGAAAATAGAAACCAAAGTTATGACCTAGCTGGTCTTTGTACCTACTCAGAGAACCTGCCTCTAACATTAGTGTGAACCATGATACCCTAAAAAGTTTAGATCTTTTGGGGTGATGAACTTTCAAAACCAGAAGAAGATAGAGGTCCTTCTTTTCATGAGCCTTCTTCTCCTTGTGGCCCTACATGACTAAGGATCAAGGCAAAACTGTTTGGGGACCTGGGAAGATGACTGGATCTACCACCTAGCAGCCTATGCTCAAACGTTAGCTCTGCCATGGACTTGGTGGGTGATCTCAGGCAAGTGCTTTTTAACAATTTGGAATCTTGAATTAGAAGAAGCAAGCTGGTCCCCTATCTCCTGTAACTGCATCTGCAACCTTCCTCTGTCATGGTAATCTCCACCTTGCATTTCATTTGTCTATAAATATCTTGACTATGAAATAAATTCCTTAAAGTCAAATTCTTTTATCCTTGACACCAACTAGCATATTGGAGGCAATTAATACATTTGTTGCTTAAGTGAGTGAATGTGTGAATAATATTGGGATTATCGTGTGTAACTGTGAGAATTAAATGTGATAGCTCCCGTCCCAAAACATATAAGTCTTGATTCCTGGGAAAAGACCCAGGATTTAATGTAACTATGTGTATTTCCTTCATTTTTTTTCTTTGGTATTCATCTTTAGTTCTTTATTATTTGTTTGTTTGTCTTTTTTATTTATTATGGTACTGGAATTAAACCCAGGGTCTCTTGCATGCTAGGCAAGCACTTTACCATGGAGCTACATCCCCAGCCTTCCATCTCTAGTCCTTTGAACTGAAATTTGTTGAAGTCCTCCAATGTCCCTTCCAGGTATTGAACTAAGCCCAAGATGACAGAAGAAGTTATTCTCCTTACTCTGCAGTCGAGAGAGGAGAAAGTCTTTAAAAAACTAGAAGCAGTCAAATAATTGCTCAAGTGGAGTTTGCCGGGAGCACAGAACAGGCACCAATATCTGTGAGGGGAAGTCAGGCAGGTTCCACAGAGGAGAGGGCAACAGAATCGAGCTCTGAGATGGAGCAGGAGTTGCACAGACTGTACTCCTAACAGCCGGGAGAGAACCTCACATCTGTCTGGAACCAGCCAGACATGAGGACAAGTCACTGTACCTCTCAGAGAGCCAACTTCTTCTTCTGTTAATAACACAGTCCATGGGATTTCTGCCAAGATTCAGTAAGGTAAGAGGCAAAGTGCATGATGACTATTCAGGCAATGATAAATGAACGCTGTCACCATGGTGCTGCTTGGGAAGGAGCCTAGAAGAGACAGCCTGGTTGTTATGGGAGCCACAATCAGGTTTTAGAGGCAGCCCAGGGGAACCCCAATGAACACCACCCCTCTTTTCCATCTGGGTTGAGGAAAATTTAGAAGGGTGATTATAGAGGCCAAAATATCACCTTCAAAATGCTAATGGTTAAATTGGAGAATCAGCATGGAACGAGGAAGCAGAGCTAGACGGCTCCCAACTGGGCAGCTCTGGCAAGGCAGCTTCCCAACAGGAAAGACGCAGTCCCTGGAGCAACAGGGGAAAACTCAGGAGCACTTCCCGGACAGAAAGAGGAGGAGCAAAACCAAGCTTGCCCAGTTGCTTTTCCCTGTGTTACCAGTCAGGGACTCTTGGGGCAGAGTGAGCAAAGGGTGGAGCGGGCAGTATGCTTAGCAAACAGTTTCCCTGTGGCAATGGGGACTTGGCAATGGGGACGGGGAGTGCTTCAGCTAACATGGTGTTCCTAGGGCAAGGGGGCTGCTATTCTGGGCATGGAAAGGACTAGGACATGTGGATGAGGTTGATTGGCATCCAGGGCCCATACCTTGAGGAGCCATGCATGGAGACGAGGCAGAGGACTGAGGGTAAGTGACTACTGAGAGAGAGGGAAGAGGGACTGACCAGGAATATACCTGGGTAGATTGCCAAGGGGAGTGACAAGTGTGTCTGCCACTGCATAGCATCAATATATGGTGGTGGGCTGGGGTTGTGGCTCAGTGGTAGAGCACTTGCCTAGCATGTGTGAGGCACTGGGTTCAACTCTCAGCACTGAATATAAATAAATAAAATAAAGTCCATTGACAACTAAAAAAATAAAAATAAAAAAAATATGGTGGCACTGATCCCCATCATTCTAAGATAAGAAAAGGCTAATGACATGGTTTTGCCAAGTCCTTCGGAAGGACAGGATGTGGCAAGGAATTGAGATCTGAACATGGCAGGGAAGATGGGGGCTTGGTAGCCTCCATAGGTCCAAGATCCACACAGCATAGTTAATGCAGAGGA